ATATTATGGAAAGTTGAGTCTATTTGCAGAATCATTGTTAAAGTAGATTCTCAGACATATATCCTTTCTCACCATATAGAAAAAAATACAGATTGCAGACAAAACTGAAACTTATTTAGTATGCAGCATAAAATTTAATCAAGAGAGAACAATTCTAAGATGCTGAAAGGTAGCTTCAGTCTTCCAAAGCTTTCATTCATGCCTTTGTCCATTTCCTATGCCTTTGGTAAGCATTTCCATCAGCATGTCAGGATTTTAAGAGAGGTAATAAACAGAAAAAATCACATGTAATACTGAAAAATTATTTATTAATTTTAAATAATGTATTTTACTAAAAAAAACCCCAAACATTTCTACTGTGATAGAAACTATTACATAACAAATAATTCTACCTTATTGGCAAATAGATATTTTTCCTCTGTTGACTGCACAAGCATCAGACATTCTATTGGATGTCTGAGAGAATTCTCACAAAGCCCTATCAAAGTGCCTGCTATTATTAAGACCCAGAGTATAAAGTACAAGATAAAGTGCACTATGGCAAATTAAGTTACCAAGGTTGTTTTCAGGGTCATGGAAAAAAACCCCAGATTTTATCTTAAAAATTATCCTCAAATTGACTGAGACACTTGAGGTATCTAGATGGCTTAGCAGATTTCTGTTCATTTTCGTAGGACTGCACTGTCACTAACAGTAATCTCTCTGTTCAGCTGTATTTTCAGGTTCCCCTTAGAAACAAAATAAAGTAGAAATTAAGGAAATCATCAGAGTTCCCATAGCTCAACAAACTACTTTTGCAAACACATACTAAGCATTAAAATTTATAATATTTTAAAAATGTATAAATAAAAAAATGCAAATTTGCGTATCAGGAAGATTAGTATTTTCCTTTATGTCAATAAAATTGAGTGCAGGAGATTAGCAGTACAAGGGGGAGTGAGAATGTGTAGTTGGCTTCTTCACCTTAGGAACAGAATTGTACTTTGAATAGCAAAATTATTTGTGTTCCTCTCCTTTGCTATGTCAGCAAGGCACATTCCAGTAATGCAGCCTTACGAAAAGCTGGCTAGACACCATTTTCATATGCTCTTACTAGGCTACATACATAGACCACTTTCAGCAGAGAATCACAAGCCACAGTCTACACCATAGCTGGTCAGCTTCTCACATCCTCATACCCTCACATCCTCAGGCACAATTTTGCTTGCCATGACAGCAAACATGCAACAAGCAGCTCCATAACTCCAGTAAGGGGGTTGATGGATCCATACAAATTGGGATCAGGATCGCTGGAAGGATTCCAGTGAAGAGGAAAAAAATTTGGCTGCATATCCAAATTACATCAGGTGTGCAGAAGAATCAAGTCACACATTAGCATATTCAGGAATCAGAAAGGAATTGGAATGGCAGACTACAGAAGTGTAACAGCATTCAAAGACTTGATAACTCAGGGCAGACATGGTGACACTTCCATGTTAGAACAGTAGTTTCTGAACAAAAAAATTACCAGTTCTACTTGTGAGTGATTTTGTTGGCATAATGTTAATTTCTCCTTCATGAAACTCAAAAGGACTTTGAAGACTCACTTTTTTAGCAGGTGCTGTTTAAAAGCTGCTTGACAGAACTAGTCATTATATGAAGAAATACAATTAATTTGCTCAACCTGGAGAAAACAAGGTATATGAAACCATAGAAAAGTCACTTGCATAATTTCAATTTTCCTTCTGGTAGCTGCTTCTCAGACACATCTCATTCATTGCCATCAGACCATAAAACTAGGCTATTAAGTTAAAGCTTGCACTTTGCAAATCCACAAAACCTTATGCTAAGAATATGAACCGTGACCCCTTTAGTTATTTAGGAGATCTAGGCATTTTCAACATTATTACAAGAAGCCGTTAGAGGGACCTAATCCATAGTCTATTGATTTAAGAGTTATCCAACTGTATTTATCTAAGTGTTACATGAGCTACTGCTGCAAGATTATGACTTTCAAAGTTTTACATTTATACTGAAAGGTAGCTAGTAAAACTAAACATTAGATCCAGCATCTCAATTTGAAGCCTAAGGTCTCATTAACTTCAATTAAGTTTATTTTGTGTCTCTCATTTGCCTCACTAACTTTTCTGGTTGGGTCTTGCTATAATAGAGCAGATCACAGGCAAGTAAGAAACCACTCAGTGAAAGTAGATAAAAAATAATTGAAACAGTTTTTCTGCAGTTTATGATAGCTTTTTCTTTCTTGAATTTTTCTCTAGACATAAATAGGAATATTTATATAGATATTCTGCAAGTTTTGACTTTCTGCAAACATTGCAAGAATAGCACAGCAGTCAAAATAATAAACATTTTAAAGTTATTTAATGACATTTCCTAGACAGAAAATTGGTAATGTGATAAGTTAGTACTGTAGTTCCAGTGAATTTAGTATGACATACTTTATTTGTATTTAAAAAAATAATAACCAAACTAAACCCTTTGCTTTTTTCTGCTTGTTTTAAAATACCTAGTCCTTCTTTTATTCCACACAGAACTACCTTAAAGCTGAATCCATGCAGTTTGAGAAGTTCTCCTTGGGGGGAGCTCGTATTAACATAGGACACACTGTTTTTCTGTTTACAGTGTGCTTTGGTTCTGCATATAGTCTTAAAAAACCCGTGCTACTTCAGCACTGTGAGATTATTACTGTTAGCCATCAGCTCCTGACAAAACCACAGGCAATGTCTTTGCCACCAAGGAGACTTGAAAGACTGATGACCTGAACTTGCCTTGAAGCATTATGGAAAATTACTTACATACTAATGAACAACACAAAGTGTTATTGTTAACACTGGAAAAAAAACATTTTAGCTTAAGTTCTCAAAGGTACTTGGAGAATTTTGCTGTTAACTTCAAAAGAGACATGATTTCAACCTAAGATTTTTTTTTCCTCCTTTAAGAAACTACTTTGCCATTTTCTAGCTACTATTTAGCTAGCTACTTATGCTATAATCCCCCCAAATTGAGAATTTATGCTGACACAAAACTTTTCATAAAGTGGTAGGGAGCCAGATAAACAAAAGTGGCCCTTAATGCCCTTCTTAAATCCCACGGGGCCCAAAGATTACTCATTTCAAAATTAATCACAGTAACACCTCCTACGTGTGTCTCTTCATCCCTGAAAAGTAGCTTTCTGTATTGCCTTCCCCTCATTTTAGTCAAAGTTTAGCATTCTGTAAGCATTACTCTCAAACATAGCATTTTTTTAAATCACTGACTTCTTAAGAAAGATCTTACTATCTTTAAACGTATTTCTGTTTTATTTCAGTAACAAAAACTATCTGAAACAAAACCTATTGTTCTAATATGCAAAGTAAATTATTTTGATATGTAGGCTAAAACGTTTCTGCATATTGAATGTCATATAGTTTCAAAACTGGTTTTCACATAATGTAAACAATAAAAATACAATATAAATAAAATAGTTTATTACAAGTATTTTAAGGGAACTCTACAATACACTATCAAAACATAAAGTATTCTTTCAATATGAAACAATTCACATAAGGAGAAAAAGTCTCAATATATAGTAATTATTAATGTACTGAAATAATCTGTCATACAAAAACCACAGAAACTACAGACTGTTTCTGAGTATCTCTCCTGGTTTTATTCTCTATGAAAACAGGAAAGAATAACATGTACAAAAATAAAATGAAAACTCCCTTCAACCTCAAGCTCATGCCACAGCATAACCTAGATAAATCACTTGCAAAATCTAAAAGCTTTCAAAGCCATTTTAAATAAATATCGATCTCTTTAAATAGTGAACAGAACACCATATATCTTACAGATATGTTAATTTAGAAATAGGATTTTAAACTTCACGTTTCAACTTATCAGAAGTTGTGTAACAAAAGAAAATATCCTAAAAGGTAGTTTTTCCAGAGGAAAAAAAAAAAAAGAAGCGAATTTCATTCTAGTTCATAATAAATAAAGCTCCCCTGCATTTACACATTTTGCAAGCCCCACAGGCACAATGGGCAAAGCTCTCTACTTACCAGAAAGTATAACTACAGATTCTATTAATACAAAACCAGGATTACTTAATTTGAGCAAAGTCATTCTCAGTCTCTTATATTTAATGTAACAAGAATGTAACTTCCTGACAAAACTGCTCATCCAAGTCATTATCACATCTTAGAAAACAGTTGTTTTACCAGTGCAGTACGTGTACTTGAAGGAAAGGAGACTGGAACAGATAGTAGGCCTGTGTGAAATGTTGGTATCTTGTCCTCTTTCTTGCATCTTTTCTTGCAGCAAAAAAGGTCAGTACTGTATGAATTGGCCGAAAAAGTTTAAAAAAGGGATATACAAAGAAGCAGAGATAATGACGCAGTGAAATGGTTTGATTATAAACTCTGCTACTTTAGCATTATCTACTTAAAATTTATCATAAAAAGCGAAAAGATCAAATTCCTCATCCACAGAACTTCAAGCACATACAAAGCAGTTAATTTTTTTCTATTAACTATTCTATAATGTCACAAAAACATTTTTTGTCATTAAACTTTTTCCCCTTTTTCTACTTTCTTCTTTTATATAGGGAGCCAGAAGAAAGTAAAAGGACCATTTTTTCTGTATTCTGCAAATTACCATTTTATCTTTTCTGATAGTTATCATTGGACTGCATAATGTCATAAAATAGTATATGAGAAAATGCAGAACTTAAAATATCTGATTCATGGAGCACTGCAAATTCCTGCAACACTATAAATACAGTAAGAATGTGTATTTATAAATTCATTCAGGAAAATAATTTAAAAGTGGCTTTTTTGTTGCCTTTTTTTTTAACATTTCATACTCATCACAAATTGTATCAAGTAGACAGTTCTGAAGACAGTAAATTAACTCTTCATCAGATCATCTCCACAATACAAAAAGATAATCTCCTTCAGTCAATAATTTAGTCTAACACAAGCCTATTAATAATTATGCAACCAATATTTTAATATATAATTTCACAGGGCATTATGCAGTTTCGATAAAAACAATATACTCTCTGGTTGCTGCTCAGTGGAACTCAGCTTTAAGCTCTCTTTAAAGTGAATAAGGTGATGTCTTTTCAAATGTGGGGCCTGTCTGAAATTTTTACCACAAACTAAACATTCAAAGGGCTTCTGTCCAGCATGCATTAGGTAATGTCTTTCAAGCTTAGAGGGTGATTTAAAAGTTTTAAAGCAGATACTGCATTGATACAATTTGTTAACAACTTCACTTTTTTCAGTGCCTTCAGAAAAACCATGACAATAGCTGTAAGAGCTTTGCTCTGTTTCCAGGAATTTACTACACAAATATGGCTGTGTGTTTCTACTGCTGGTGTCAAGAACAAGGTCCCCTGACTCAATTTCAACTTTGATTTCAGCTGCTTGGTTTGACTGAATAAGCTCAAATTCTTGAAAGCCCGATGCCTGTGAAGGTGCTTGAGAATAACCCGAGTAACCGAAAGGCTGAGATGACTTAAATTCAGCGTGATCTCCCTGATGATTGGAAACTTTGTTCAGATTTTCAAATTCCACCTGGCAAACAGGGTTTTTACAGGGTCTCTTTTCAGTATGGGTGAGCTGATGTCTTTTTAAGTGAGCTGACTGTCTAAATGTCTTTCCACAAACATTACAGCCAAAGGGCTTCTGTCCTGTGTGTATAAGATAGTGTCTTTGAAGTTTGGATGAAGATGGGAAGATTTTTTCACATCTGTCACATTTACAAGCTTTGTGTCTATTATGTATATTTTTAGCAGAAGCTGAAAAAGAACAGTGAAGTATTTCTGGATTATCAAAGAAACCATCATCTGATGAACCATAAAAAATGTCATCTTTATTATGCAGTGAATCATCGATGTTTAACATGCTTTCACCAGTGAGCATACCTTTTAACTTAATTCCAAAGTCGTGAGGTTGTGGGTGCTCTTTCCAAGGTAATGGCACAGCAAATGTTCTTTTCATCCGATTACTAAGTGCCTTGTGCATGTCAAGCTTGCTATGGCAATCCTTGAAAGGTTTAGTGGAAGCATGCTGATCAGAACACTGATCTCTAGCTGCAACCAGGTCAGGACTTTTAAAGTGACCTAATTTTATTTTTTTTCTGTCAGTCAGAGAAAAATCTGTTGCTTTTCCTCCAGTAGGCTTCTGCTTCTTTAGAATCTTATTTTTCATGATGAGTGTGTGGCTGCACGCTGTTGTACCACTATTTGAACTTTTGCCATCTCTCAAAAAACAACAGTTGTGCAAATTTAGAACCTGCTCTGTTTCAAAACACTGCTCACATGCTGGGCACTGAAAGGGTACTGTATAAATCGAGTGAACATCATGTGGGTCATTCTCTTGTGATTGGAAAGTGTCAGCACTCTCACAGCTATCCCTCTTTCCTTCCAACAGGTTCTGTAGTCTAGGATACTTAAGAGTCTTCGCTTTGTATAAAATATTGGGGAAAGTCTTATTTCTGGCATGGAGCTGTTTGTGCTTCATGAGTTTGCTCTGTATTTTAAACCGCTTCTGACAAAAGCAGCACTGAAAAGGCCTTTCCTCCGTGTGTGTGAGCTGATGAATTTTCAAGTGTGTTGACTGTCTGAAAGATTTACCACATGAAGAACACTTAAAAGGTTTCTGGCCAGTGTGAATAAGGAAGTGTCTTTCCAGCTTAGATCTTGATGGAAATGTCTTGTTACACGATTCACAAGTGTGAGTTTTCTTTCTCCTTCTGGCACCATGTAGATGATCTGCCTTCAGGCACTGATGCAGCATCCACCTCTTTTCAGTTGTAAAAGATTTCCAGCACATAGAACATTGAAATATGCCATAAGTGACCCTGTCTTGCTCAAAATTCACAGAGTTTTCTGCTTGCTTGCTATCACTCTGATAATTTTCATTATGAAGCTGCTGATGCTTTAAAAAAGTGATTAAGTTTTTGAAGTTCCTATGACAAACACTACACTTAAAAGGCAGATTGTGGGTTAACTGATGCCTCTCCAAGTGGACTAGCTGCCTAAATGTTTTATGGCATACATGACATTCAAAAGGCTTTTGACCAGTATGTATTAGATAATGCCTAGCTAATTTTGACGGTGTTTCAAACTGCTTACAGCAAATGTCACAAATGTATGGCTTTTTCTTGGGTATCCTGTTAGCTGTTACACACTGCTGAACTTTGAACATTTTTAAAAAGCAGTTACACCTCGCTTACTGTTAGTTTCTTCAGATAGGTATTTGAAATGAAATCATCAATGCACACTAAGATGGAAGCTGTAGAAGCAGCAAGTTCTCTTAGAAGAGATATTCTTAATTCCCACAGGTCCCTAAAATAAGAAAGAGAGTATTATTTTAGCCTATATTAATACATAATTGCCCAAGTTTGTCTTACTTTCTATATAAGACACCAAAAGCATCTAGATTAGAATACTCCTGATTTAACTTAGCTTCAAATGCTTTCCTCAGAGTAATCACTTGTTATGTTACATGATACAGAAAAACTAGACTACTTTCCAGAAGAAATGAAAAGTTTAAGACATCTGTGCTGTAATACAGATATTGCTTAGTCCTGCAAGTTACTTCCAAATAATATACAGTTCATCTGCATAATGATATTTAGGTTATATACAAATAAAGCATAAAGCATTCCATACAAATTTACTGTAATAAATTTCAACCCTGCAGCAGGAGTTCTAACTCCCAGATACAGTATTTATGAAGATGAGAGAAAGAAAGAAGAACTTGGGACTCTTTGGCTTCAGAAATAAAAATTAAACAAATGCAGTGTTAGTGAGAAGTAAAAATTAAGAATGCACTGAAACTAAGTACAAAGTTCCTATTTACACTTCTGTATCTTAATAACTATATCAGGCAGAAACAGTAGTGTAATCTTTTTGCTTTATCTCCAAATGGCAAACACCAGAACTAGTCAGCAAGAGCATCAGCAGTAAAATACGACCAGAACGAGGGTAACCCCCACAAGGATGAACACAGGCTGTGTTCACTATTGCACTATGGAGCTACAATACCAGATTGTGATACCTAACCATGCATATACTCTAAATTCATCATAAAGAAAGAGGTCGTTAGCTAATTTATCATAATGACTATTTTAATCTAAAATAAACTAATAACATAGTTTTATTTCCCTTCAATTTTCAACAGATGAAACACACTTCGGCAAGCTACTGTGTCTCAAATAAGGCATAATGTCTTGCAAAGAAGACACAATAACTTTGCAAGTACCTGAGAGCATGAATAGATATGAAAATATTCATAGGAACAGCTAGAAAGGACCTCAAACAATCATTTAGTCCAAGCAAAGCCAATACATGTGTAGACAGCCTCCCAAGTGCTCTTCGGAATTCCCAATGAAGGAGGTTCTTTAACCTCAGCAGGTCCCCTGCTCCAATGTGACACTCTCTTATGATGCTTCTTGCAGTCAGCTGAGCCCTTCCATACTACAAAATTTTTTAAATTGTCCTTTCCCATGTAAACCTGAAAAAAACTCTAAAAAGTGTTCTTTGCCATAACTGTATGTATTCAATGTCCCTTTTTTTTTTTTTTTTTTTAAATTTTTTGTAACTAGGTAAATTCTGTGTTTTCTAAGTACTGCTTTTAGGTCAACTTAAAGAAAACAAAAACAAAACTTATTGGTCATTGATTGGTCTTTTTAATCCTCTCTGGACTAATTCCAATTGGTTACATCCAGAATAAAAATACCTCGATGTTATTACCTATATGCCCTTATAAAAAGAAAAGGGATGGAAAGAGTAAACTTGAAAGCAACAGCATAATAGTTAGGCCTTGTAATAACTTTGAGACGCACAATACGTTTCTACCAACTATAATTTATGGTATTTTCACACTGCAACTCACAAGCTGTATATTTATTCTGCTGTATACCAGCAGAATAAAAATTAATTTATTCAGTGTCTCTAAAAGACCTCTCTCTTCACAGTTAATGTCTTTAGCTTTAAAAAATTTTTAAATATCTGAAAAGCCCATTTAAATTCATTGCAAAGAATAAAAGCCTACTGCAATTTAAAGAAAGTTACAATGAGATTCAAGACATGCAGAATAGACTGAAAATATCTTGTGAATCAAGATTTTCTTAAAGAAATGGAAAGAAACCTAGTAATCCAGTAGGATCATTCCACCTCTCATATGTATGTTCCTACACAATTGTGGGCCTTATTTAATAACATCTGGATGCACACCCTAGCTGCAGTTGTCACTACACTGAGGAGTTACCTAGTTCCACTGAAATTGCCCAGGATAGGACTTATCAATGCTATGAAGCAGTTAAGAAAGTCAACTTTTCCTTCCCTATTGTCTTTTCCTGTAAAGTGTTAACACTACTTAGTTTCAGTCTTCTTTTGAAGATGCAAGAAAACAACTCTTAAGAGCTCCCCTTTTCATCCCAGTTGTCACATCACTGGAAGGCAGGGAGTTTAGAGAGATTAATTGTGAGAGACCTAATGTTTTCTAGTTTGTGCTATGACGAAGCTAGAGACAGGTAGGCTGAGAAAAGGAGAAAGGCTTCTCTGCTATGCTGGAAGTTTCTGTACAGCGCAAGCCAGCCTCCATTAGCAGGGAAGGAAAACCTCCTGAGAAAGTACTATAAAGGTTGATGAATTTTAGTTAACATAATGTCATACAGATCCAATTTACACATCAGGAAAGTGCTCAAACAGTATAGTGACATGCGAAGAAAAAAGGTCCAAAGTAAGAGACAGCTATGGCATATTACATATACAAAAGGGATTTTGTATTTAGCTTATAATTTTGTTAAAGATTCTAGCAAATGAGGAAAATGCTCTTTAGTACAACGTGTCAAAAAAGAGCAGAGCTTCTTGCTGTGGTCTTCTTGCCCTCTAAAAGACTAAAGGTTCATATGAGGAAAACTTAAGGGATTGAGGGGAAGGAGAAAAGAGCTACCATGTGCCTCAAATATATTTTAAAATCTTATTTACTAAGGATAGATTTCACCACATCTATTTCAGGGTGTTCTGTACCTTTCACATCTAAGGAATAAACATGCTGCTGCTAAAGATCAAAGACCAAAAGACAAGCCTGGAATGCTGCCTCCTGCCAGGCTTGCAAGTACACAGGCTTGTCATAATTAGAGTCAGAAAACTTATTTCCCTATGTGATAAGGTTTTAGTTTGTTGCATAGGTCCAATTTGATACTAAATCAACAGTAGTTTTCATCTTGGCAGCAAGGTCACACAGAAAAAGAGCCAAGAAGTAATGTAGGCCATTAAGGGTCCACAGAGAACACTCCTAAGTCTAGTATTATTTAATGATTATGTTTATTAATATTATAGATGGCAGCAAGCTGCAACAAAATGAAAACATGATGGAAGAAAATTCTGAATTGTAAACCAGTCTTTACAAATCAGAGATGTGGGTTTTTTTAAGAAAGCAAAATCAAAACAAAACAAAAAAAAAGGCAAAGGGAATATGAATAAGAAGAAATGCAACATTTTCTATTTAGGCAGGAATAATCACCTGGAAGAGGGACTTACTGGAGTCTATGTTGGAACAGAAGATTATCATGCCAACAGCAAGCACACCATCCATACCAGGATGCAGAAGTAAAGCTTTGATAGCACATATATCTTCCATACTACTCATTACTGTTTAGAATTCAGCTGCAGTACTGCATCCAGTTTTGAATACTGTCCTTCAAATCAAGTCACATATAGGAACTAATTGGAATCAGTCAAGAAAAGAGGATCATGAATTATCAAAGCTTAAATGCATAATATACAGGAAAAGATTAAACTGTGAATGCTTAAATTAAAATAGAAGAGACCTGATTAAAAAGAACAAAAAATGCCAAAACAAAACCTAAGAGCCATCTTTTTAGGAAAATGGAAATAAACTGTTCCCCAAGTCATTTACAATTTTGACTAGAACTGGATTCAAATTACAGCAAAGAGGACTCCAGTACATTATCATCCTTCCAGCTGCAAAGTTCTTAATGAGCATACAAATAAGTTGAGTGAGGAGATTGCTCTGCCTCCAAAAGCAGAGGTGTCCAAAAGAAGTTGTAGAAACATCTCTCAAATTCCCACATCCATATAGTTGACTTTATACGAGATGAATACTCTTTGCTTGTTTTCCTATGCCTCATAATATAATTAAAATCACTCAGGAATTGAAAAATCAATGTCTTTCTAAATTTACTACTGAAGGATTCTTCAACGTTATTAGTTTATCTTCAGACCCTTGTGAGGTAAGTTAATGATCACTACCCTCCAGATACACCTACAGGGAAATTATTTATAATAACAAACGTGCAAAGAAACGTATGATGCCTCTTCTAACATTTAATACAAAACAAACAAGTGAAAATATAGCTGCTGATTTATGAAACAGCATGCAGCGGAGGTAGGGACCTGGGCACAGAGACAAACATCGCAGGCTGGATTTCCTCACCAGGTTTCCCTAGGGAAAAGATTAGATTGCTGCGATGGGGGGCACAAATTCTGTCGCAAACGTAACCCTCACCAGTAGTTATTCAGAAATATACGTCGTACATTATGGCCCCTCAAAGCTAGTATCACTCTTT